CCGGAGGGGGTATTTATAGGATCCAATGAGGAACCCACGTGGCATGCCAAGCAAGATAATCGGAGCCTGACGTGTCCATCCAGATGATTATTTCAGGACCGAGAATTTGAGAGGTATTCAGATGCACGGATGTCCACCATACTTGTGCCACTCGTCATAAGGAATCAGGTACAGGTATGCTTATTGTCATTGTCATGCAGATATTTGAGCAGGAAGCTTTGGATTCATTTCTCGCTTTGGATTCATTTCTCACTTCAGTCATGAAAGAATTACTGTAGCAGTCCGAGGCTTGGCACCTCGGACCTGTCCTTACAATATTGTTTCTAAAAGTGGTACACTCTTGCATACATTACAATTAAACTACATAAAATAAAACTTAAGATATTATAGATTGTTTAAATTAGTTTTTTCAAAACTATAATAATTGATAGTAGATATTTCACAATTGATAAATTATTAAATTTTATAATTCAAAATATTTAATCTATTTAATTAAAACTAACAATTGATAGCTGCCTTCAATGGGTCAAAAACGCCTCTTTAGTAATAAACTCATCCAAAGGTCCAATGACCACACATATTATGGCTGGGTTTCTTGTTTGTTATTTTTAGATTACCAATTATACTTCCTAATAACTACAAGTACATGCAAAATACTACACGACATCACAATCTGAAGAGCGAGGAGGAGATTTCTCTCTTATATATGTTCCTATGTCTTTAAAAATAGTGTTTGACCAGCGATAATTTTATAATTCATTGAGATTTAAGAGTTTTTTTTATTGAATTAATGACAATTAGTGTAACTTTTGAAAACTTTTTATCTATTTTATATTTATATAAAAAAGGTTCTTTGTATTCTGTATAATGACATTTGTTGTAATGATGGTAGATTTTATATTTTTTTTATTTGCATAAATTAAAAAATTTGTTTTGTATTTTTTATAATGACATTTAGTGTAATTAATTTTTACTTTTTTTTAGCAATTATATGAAAAATTTCCCCCTTTTTCTATTTGAGGTTATAGTAATTATTTTTTACTTTATATATCTATGTGAAAAAATCCTTTTAGTTTGATCTTAAAATTAATTATGTTTTAAATTTTTTTTTTTGAACAAGTTGTCAAGGGATGGGTTCGAAACCCACCCGGGAGGGGAAATGCACCTCAAGCTGACAGGATACCAGTTGACCCGAAGGGTGAGGTGATAATTATATTTTAAATTAAATAAATTATATACGATAAAAATGATTTTAATTTCACAAATTTTTATCATATAGTATTAAAAGATCTCTTAAAACTATTAAAACATCAAGAAACTAATTATTCAATATTTTATTTTTTTATATATTTTATTTTATTATTTACTTTTAATAATAATAATTCCTTCTTTGAAAAGGCAAATACATCCCAACAAACCTGTAGAGCAAGTTTTTTTTAATTAATACACTTAAAATTACTAATTATGAAAAAAAAAGATATTTTAAAATATTTTTATAATTAAATTATTAATATAAAACTTTATAATTTCCAAAAATTAAAAAAAAAATAAATACCAACCACACAAAGCACACAACTTAAGATCTAGTTTTAGACTTTTTTTTTTTCTGTTTATTTTTTAGTGAATCTAATTTTTTTATTTAATAAAATAGAAATGTAATAATTTATTAATAAAATTTTATATTTATCTCTAATTAAATACTACTTAAATAAATTTATTATGTTATATATATTGTAATTATCTTTTAATTTGAACGTAAAATAAAAATAAATGCATTAAATAACATTTTAAAAATAAAAGTGAATAAGTAAATTTAAATGTCCCAAAGAAAAAACTTGAAAGAGTATACAATTAAAATAATGATAAATGAGATTAAAATTTAAAACTAAAAGAAACCAATAACATTACATTATTTAAAATATTAAAAAGTTAATTCAATATTATTTAATATTTAAAATTTTTTTATTTTTTTAAATTTATAATATTATATAAATAAATTAATTTAATAATATCATTAATACTACAAACTTTTCCGCTCAAAATTTTCATCTTCCTATCATTTCTCATATAATCAACATATTTTTTGGCCAAGTTTTTATTGAGAATTGTTTATAATAAACAAATTTTCAGGAGGAGAAAGTAGATGCTGCTTAAAAAAAAAAAACCCGAGCAGATAGAAGAGTTTCATCATGACCCGACCCATATCGTCTCCTCTCCCTCCTGATTAGTCTGAAATCTTCCGAGCTACCCTGGCAATGGCCCCCAAAATCTTCTTTGCCTCTTAACCTTACACCGTTCCCTTAACCTCCTTATCTCAGTCTTATGGAGTCTATCTTGGCCCCTTCTCCACTCACTGTCTCATTCATCTCTCCATTCTCACCAGCACATCAGAATTGTACACTACCCCATTTCAATATCAAATTCCGCCTTAGAACCCACAAATTTCCCACCAGAAAATCCTACAGGATTCTCCCTATCACGAATAGTTTTCGTGCATTTAGATTCCAACGAAGCTCCACAACCTTAGAAGAAGAAGAACGAGCGCGAGAACTCCAGGTTATTTCAGAACAAGGAAAAAATTCATCAATTTCAACTGGGTATTCTCCAATTGAATGTATAGTAAAACATGCGGTATATTCTCCAATTGAATGTATAGCAAAGCATGCGGTATACACATTGTTCTTTATTGCAGTTGGGTTATGTAATGTATTTCCAGTTGGCTCTTCTCGGGTTGCTGCAATTGCAGCACCTGTGACCAGTGAAGTGACTGTGATTAGAAAAGGCAAAGTGAAAGGAAATTTAAAAGAAAAGGAAGAGATTTTGAAGAAGAATGATTATGAGTACTCACACTGCACAAGGAGGTTGTTGGAGACAGTTTCACAGTTATTGAGGAGTATAGAGGGGGTCAGGAGAGGAAATGGGGATGCGGAGGAAGTAAAATTAGAGTTAAAAAGGGTGAAGTTGAGGAAAGAGGAGTTGCAAGAGGAGATAATGGATGGGTTGTACAGTGGATTGAACGAGTTGAGGATGCAGAAAGAGATATTAATGGCAAGGTCAGAGGAGATAGTAGATGAAGTCGTGAAAATGAGGAGAGAGGGAGAGAAGTTGTCTTTTGACCAAGGAGCTAAGAACAGAATGGAGTTGTTGGAGGAGAGTATGGGAAGCATGGAGGAGGAGTACAATGAGACATGGGAGAGACTTGGGGATATTGAAGATGAGATTTTGAGGAGAGAGACAATAGCATTAAGTATTGGGGTGAGGGAGCTTTGTTTTATTGAGAGGGAGTGTGAGGAGTTGGTGCAATCGTTTCAGCGTGAAATGAGGAGAAAGGAGCCCACCCAGAGGTAAAATTTCATTATGACGTTAAATGATATGTGTTTGATTGCAGTTGGTTTTGGTTTATTGGATTATGAGTAGTGGACTAAAGTCAAATTATGTATCCTGTTATACAGAAGTGTTATGTGTTCTTATGTACATCCAGTTTTTTAACCTCTGATTTCATTCTTTGGTTTCCATTTTCTGCCCTAATCGTAGCAATTCTTTAATTTCCCTTTCAATTATATAGTCTAGTTGAAGTTCTTTGATATTGTGATGTAACTTTCTCAAGTCTGACGAAAAGCAGTTTTAGTGTCCTTTAGCGTTTTTTATTTTTTTCATTTTGCCTTGCTACCTAGCTGGTAACATGAACATTTTTATGCACCTTGTTTTTCTAATTCTTTTCTTCAATGTCTAATTCCAGTTTTCCATTTTCTAGTGCATGATACTACCACATGTTAATTGTTTTTCTAAATACATCAATATTTCAATTTTTTGAGTTAATATATTGCCACAACAGCTAATTTCGACTTTCGGCAATTTTTTGCAAAAAAGTTTGTTGATTCCACTTTGATTGACTAGTACTCAGATTGTCCTTATTACTGGTTGCATGATCTTACATAAGTGCCACCTTAGTATTTTTGTTTTCCTGAATTAAATTTGATGTGATTAGTTTCTTTAATGCGATCAATTGGTTCTGTGATTGCAGTCTGCCAAAAGGCTCCATTACAAAGCTTTCAAAATCTGAAATACAGAACCACCTGGAAGTCGCACAAAGAAGACACTTCGAGGAAACAATTCTGCCTAGTCTTGTGCAAGCTGAAGATCTAGGACCTTTATTTCATCAAGATTCATTGGATTTTGCCCTACGTATTAAGCAATGCCTTGAAGATTCAAGGGAGAGGCAAAGGAATCTGGAGGCACAGATAAGAAAAAGTATGAAGAAATTTGGCAATGAAAAGTGTTTTGTTGCAAAAACTCCAGAAGATGAAGTTGTGAAGGGATTTCCTGAATTTGAAGTGAAATGGATGTTTGGAGAGAAGGAGCTTGTGGTTCCAAAAGCAACCAGCCTGTATTTGTACAATGGTTGGAAGAAGTGGCGAGCAGAAACCAAGGCAGAGCTAAAGAGAAAATTGTTAGAAGATGTAGATTTTGGCAAACAATATGTGGCCCGAAAACAGGTAGCATATTCCTTGACCATGGAATATTTATAATTTATGGAGGTCTCTTTTAACTTTATGCCTGTTAAAAACATTCATGTGTAAACTGTTTCTTTATCCCCTTCTCTGATCATCAGGTCATTGATGTGGACCTCACATATCATATGATCTATTTTCCTTTGAGACTTTGTGCTAATACTTCACCAAAGCTTAGTTAGAATAACTTGATCTATAAACCTTTCTATTTGGTGCTTTATGTTCATGCAGGAACACATTCTCCTGGATAGAGATAGAGTGATCACAAATACATGGTACAATGAAGAGAAACATAGGTGGGAAATGGATCCAGTAGCTGTTCCATATGCTGTGTCCAAGAAGCTGGTAGAGAATGCACGTATCAGGCATGATTGGGCTGTAATGTATATTGCATTGAAGGGTGATGACAAGGAATATTATGTTGACATCAAGGTTACTTGAGTGAATAAACTGTTCACATCTATCAAGTATCAATAAGCTTTTCTTGCCATGTTTCTAATAGAAATATTTGAATCCAGGAATTTGAAATGCTTTTTGAGAATTTTGGAGGGTTTGATGGGCTATATATGAAAATGCTTGCCTGCGGTACTCCAACTGCTGTTCAGCTGATGTGGATCCCTTTTTCAGAGTTGAATTTCAGTCAACAGTTTGTCTTGATGATAAGGCTGGCTTGTCAATGCTTGAACGGATTGTGGAAGACAAGAACTGTATCATACTGGGGAGACTGGATTTGTCGAAAAATTAAAAATATAAATGATGACATAATGATGATGATTGGGTTTCCTCTAATTGAATTTATCATTCCTTATCCGGTGCGGATTCTATTACCTTAATACGAAAAAACTGAGTTCTTAGTTTTCAGTTATGGTTTCCAAGCATAGTTGTGTTTTACAAGTTTCATGTATGATATTGCAGGTGAGATTGCAGTTTGGAGTGGTTGGTCCAAGTGAAATAGGCCGAAGTTTTTCCACTTCATGGTACTTGAAATGGCGATATGAAATAGAAATGGAATTTGAGTCAAGAAAAACAGATGGCATACTATGGTTCCTTTGGTTTCTAATTAGAAGCACTATATATGGATTTGTTTTGTTTAATGTGTTCCAGTTAATAAGAACAAAAATTCCGAAACTTCTTGGTTATGGGCCCTTACTCAGAGATCCCAAAGTGCAAAAATGGCGTAGATTGGTATTTCTTCTACTTTTTGGTATTTTGTACAATTTTCTTTTGTTATTTGTTATGCCTCCCTTCTTGTAGTCTTGTAGTATTAGGTTTTACATAGCTTTTAAGAGTAGTTTTACTTTCTTAGAGCTTCGTTTTTTGCCTTTCTCTTGTCTTCTGCATTGGCATGTGGGGATTTTCATGCCAGTGATGTTCTTGTCTAGTTCCAAATTAGTTTGATTAAGCAAGTGTTGAGGGGGCCTGATGGAAAGTGAAACTTAGGAAACTGCCCAGTGACTATGGTGAAATGGGTTTAATAGCACAGTTAATGCCTGTTACCCCAAAAGTCATCTGTCATCAGTTTCAATGAGAAACAAAAAATTTGGTAATTACTAAAACCTTCACTTCTTTATGAATGCTATCCTTAGGGATAATTACATGCTAGTGATTGAGCAAGTGTAGTATTTAGCATTAAATGTTTATTTTAGGCACTGTCTGATTGAAGATTTTGAAGAGAACTAAAAGCTTAAAATATATGTGGACGCCATTCTTAGTCACTGGTTTTCGTGGCTGCGTAATGAAATTTTCTTTCATTTTTTCATCAAGGGGGTTTCAAAATATTTCTATTCTTTTAGGGCTGGCAAATGGTTCTGGATCTACTTAGTTTTAGAATGATTGTCACTAAGCTTGGAACATGCACTTTGTTTTTGGTGCAAATAAGAGAAATTTTGTTAACACAAGTCAAATACATCAACTAGTACTGGGGAATTCAATTCCCATAATGTCTGCAATATTAAAGACCTTAACAGGAAAGGGACAAGAGTCAAAAATAACAAAATCTGCAGAAAGGTCATGGTCCAGTTTGCCATCAGCAGCAGCCATATTAGATTCATGAACAATATGAGAAAGTTGAACATGCACTTGCATGTTGAATGGATTGGGTGTTCCAAGTAAAATCATCAGTTTAAAGTCCTTGTGATTTTGTTGTTCACCAAAATGTTGAATTAGCACTTGAATAATTTATAGATTGTTTATCTGATGACTTTTATATTTATTTATTGATCTGTAATTTTTCTTTACATATTAAAGTTGTGGGGAATTTTTCCTTATGCTCAAGACTTTTAAATGAATGCCTCTGATGATTTTCATTGGCTTGTTGCAAGTGAGTCAGAATTTCAAGAATGGTGGGCTTTTGTTCTTTGTTGTAAGCATATACAGTGTGAAATAGAAATTTCTTATTCTGAATGGGAGTTATTTTGAATCCTAGATTTCACAGTGGTGTGCTTTTCTGAAGGAAGTGGTTGATATATTTAAGACTCATTTATCCAGTGAGGAGTTATTTATGCTTATGATTGTATTTATCTTAACAAGGAGTGCTTTGTAGTCTATGGGTAGATCTTGAGTTATCAATCATGTGATTCAAGATGTAGACATTCCCATTGGAGCTTTTCAGGTACTGCTGACTGATAAGTGTTTTCTTTACTATTTGCAGAAGGCTTATCTCAAATATAAAGTGAAGAAGGGCAGGCGCATGAAATTGGCTGGCGTTGATCCCATAACAACTGCTTTTGACCGAATGAAGGTTAATACCTTGCACTCAAAAGTTCTGTAGTTAGCAATTATAATTTTTCTCACACACTCAATAAAAATAAAAATAACAATAAAAATAAAAATAAAAATAAATAAATAAACACACACCTGCACACACACATTAAGCCACATTCTTGTTGTGCAGAGGGTGAAAAAGCCACCAATTCCATTGAAGGACTTTGCTAGTATTGAGTCCATGCGAGAGGAAATCAATGAAGTAGTGGCATTTCTACAAAATCCCAGTGCATTCCAGGAAATGGGTGCTCGTGCACCTCGGGTATGTTATTATTATGAAAGTAATACATTTGCACTATATTCTGTATTGCCTGAAGTGTTTTTGTAATCATTGACATTCTTTATCCACTGATAAAAAAAAGAAACATTCTTTATCTATCTACAATTTTGTTTCATATTATCCTTAGATTTGATGCATAGAGTTAAATCATTGATTTGATTACATAATAATAGTGTGCATGATTTACTTGGCCTTTGAATATGAAATGTTAGTTGAAAGTTCTTGTTCAATTTTGACAATTTGCGTACACTGGTTAGGTTGAATTTTGTGGCTGGATCTCATGTTATTAAATCAACTGAAACCTTGGCATCTCCTAAATGACACCCAACCACCACTAGTCTTCATTCTGCACGATATTCTCCCTTGTGACAGTAACAATAGTCCTGAATTTTAAATGATCATTATTCCACTAGGACAACACGGGGAACTTGTTGGGTGAGGGGTTCTGTTAGCAGAAAATCCTCACTTGTTGGTTGCAATGACAATTCTCATAATTATCAGTCAAGTGTGATCCTATTCCTACTAGGACCACAAGGGGGGCTTGTTGGTGGTTGACGTCTATTATGATACAACTATGCAGTTCTATAGCAATCAACTTTAAAAACACCAGAGCTGCTACCTTTATGAATTTTTACTTTAAATAAAGTTGTTTTTCTAGTTGTAAAAATTGGTCTTTAACTGAACATAAAATGTTATTTTTTTCTATATTATTCAAGGAAAGGAATGCTGTAATAAGAACAGGCATTTTTGACAAACAGTAACTCGTCTCCATAGGAAGACAGTGAAGCCTTGAAGGTTGATTTTGTGGTTTCAATCATGCATAAAGGGTTCTTTTAGTTCAGCCTTTCTGGGTATTTTCAGAGTGAAAAAACTAGGTGATAGGCCTTATGCCTATTTGATTTCCATGAGTAGGATTTCTAGCCTTTCAAAAAAAAAAAAAAAAAAAAAAAAAGAAGAAGAAGAAAAGAAAAGAAAAGAGTTGGACTCCTATTGTTGGTCTGCTGCCGTGCAGTACGTGGTCATTTATAGATTTTGATATTTACTAGTCTAAGTATTTTTTTATATTCATAGAAGTCATCGGCTGCTGGAACCAGATATTCATGTTAATGTGGTGTAAACAATATTTTGAGATAGTTTGTTCTATTTCAGGGAGTTCTTATTGTTGGAGAGAGAGGAACAGGAAAGACATCTCTGGCACTAGCAATAGCTGCAGAGTCTAAGGTGCCTGTTGTCAGGGTTAAAGCCCAGCAGTTGGAGGCAGGAAAATGGATTGGCCAGGGTGCATCAAATATTAGGGAGCTTTTTCAGACAGCAAGAGATTTGGTTGTTCTTGAAAGCTTCACTGTCAAATTCCAAATGTTTTTTCTTTTAGTTTTGTGATTAGAGTTTAAATAATTTTATATGGACAAGTATAACATAACAAAGGATTCTAAGTCAAACAGACCAATCTGAAATGTGTTGAAAGTAAGAAACTGACATCGATTTTTTTATTTTTTTTACTTATTTCTTTAGTTTCTTCCTTCCTTTACTGTTTTTTGTTCTCAAAGTTTGATCAGTTCTCCTATTGAGAGCAAATGATAGTAAGGCTTTCTTTTCTAATTTCACTTAGATAAATTTGGGAGGGTTCTGCTCAACTGTCCTTTACCTGTGAACTACTTCTCCAGTAATCTTATTTAAGCCTGTATGCTTTCTTCAAATCTTTCTATACTGCTTCAATTAATATGATTTTTTGTTTCCTTTTTAGATTTGTGCCTTCTTTTTCCTTTATAAGCTTGTTTTTTTCATCATTACATCCATGAGGCCAAAAAATATGGCAACCCATATAATTGCATAATTTTATCTGATTTTTTAATATATTTTACGTGTAAAAGGAATGTTATTTGTATTCTAAAATACTATTTCATAATTTCTGCATTATTAATGGGTTGGTTTTTGAGGACACTATTTCCTTTTTAAATTAAAAGTTTAGTTTTGTTTATTTGATTTATAATATGTTAAACTTGAGTTAAGTAGAGAGGATTATAACCCAAGTGATCTGACTTTTATAATGCCTTTTGTAGGCACCTGTAATTATTTTCGTGGAGGATTTTGACCTTTTTGCTGGTGTTCGTGGCAAATTTATTCACACAGAAAAGCATGACCATGAGGCTTTCATTAATCAACTACTTGTGGAACTTGATGGGTAAGTTATTCTTTCTGTTCATTGGACTCCAACTACTGATTATTGAATTAATTGCTTGATTTAAAATTGTTAACAAGATATGAGACTTGTGACCATGGTGCTTTAGAGTTTAGAGTTGGATTTTCTATCTCGGATTAGAATTGGTCTCATTTTGCTTCTGAATTAACCCTCTTTTGGATGAGACTTACAAGATATCATTTTTTCCCTTTATGTTAGACCTACTCGGGCATCTTGGAGGAAATGACCATGGTACTTTAGAGTTGGTTTCTATCTAGGATTCAGAATTGGTCTCAACTTGACCAGAAGCTTTGAAATGTTTGGCCTTAGCTGTTTGCACCTTTTTTATAACTGCTTCCTACATGCACATCCTCTGTTATGGTTGAGGAGATTTTGCGCTTCTCTTGTGTCTCTTTCTTGTTCTTCTTGCCTTCATCTTCTCTCATTTTGTTGTTGGGGATTCAAGGACATGCCCAATGGCTTAAAATAAAATTTTTCTAAGATTCTTACCAAGGATCTAAGCTTAATTCACATGCAAAAGAGGGTTAGATCAAATTTATTTTCTACTTAATGACAAATCCTCAAGTCTCAAGTGTAGCTTTGACTTTGTTGGTTTGATGATGCTGAACCAAATCCTCATAAGAAAAGGATCTTTAGCAGAATCAAATGTCAAGGAGTGCTGAAGAGCCTACAACTTGTGTTAGTAGGTAACTAGGGTTTCCTTCTCTTGGATTGTGCAACAAGTGTAGTGTGTGCATAAAGCTAATGAGAAATCACCTTAAAATCCCTTATATACACTGAAAAAAAAAACCAATGAAGGCTAAACCCATTAGACTAGGATTAATGACTTAATATGGAATACTAATCCAAGTTGACATTATTCAATGCACAACTGTAGACCACTTATTTTTTTGGCATTTAAAATAGCTTATTAACTCAGAAAATTCAGTTTTAATGGCCTAGCCCATTTGCCCACAAAACCCTGATTTTACGAAGTGCTAATTAGGAATTGCTTCTAGAAACCTAGTCTCATCCTAGTCATTTTAACAATCCTAGTTAAATTAGGATTCATCACAAGAATCCAACTTTATCCTCGTGCTCTATTGTGTGCGATCCAATTGGTTGTTGTGATGTTTTCAGTATGCCTAGAACTCGTACCAATACATTCAAGTTAGGTGATTTTTAGCAACAGATTGACTAGCTAAGTAATAGAAATGTCAGTGGTTTGAAAAAATTCATTTTATGAGCAATTACCTTGTAATTTAGTCCTTTACGGCACGTTTGGAATGCAGGTTGGGATAGGACTAGACAAGACAAAAATGATGGGATAAGACAGGATTGGATTGAAAAAGATAAACAAAATCCCATCCTATGTTTGGCACTTCTTTGGATTGTATAAAAAATTAATCCCATACTTAGTTTGGAACTTTGTAGGATTACATAGGATAACTTCTACAAATTTTTCTTATGGACAAAAATACCCCTAAGTTCAAAATATTTGAAAACTTTTATTCACTTACCCAAATTTATTGGATAAAATGTCTTTAAAAAATAAAAATATGTTAATTCAAAAAAGTTAATTAACTTTTTTAACTGCCAAAAATATTATATTTATATAATATATAAATTCATAAATAAGTCAAATAAATTGTACATTAAAAATCATAAATTACAAAGGAAAAAAATATAAATAAGACTAATTTATCAAAATAATTCATAAAAAAATTTAAATAAAAAAAATACAATCTTTGCAGCTTGAAGAATAAAATGGAAAGAATATAACGTAAAATGAGAATAATAAAATTCACATTCTAAGGTCTTCAAAACAATAAATATAAAAATTTTATAAAAATAGTGCAAGTTAATTGTCAAATTCACCATTAATAATCATTCATATATAATACTACTCCTTTAAAATAATAAAAGTAATTCAAAACTCCTAATTTCATCAGAAGTAATGCAACTTCAACATAGTCAATAATCAATAGAGAAGTTAATTGGACATTGCCATATATAAACCATGAATGCAATCAAAGATTTGCGTATAATCATCCTTACCTTTCTTAAATTATAGTTCTATTTTCATTTTTTAAATAAAATATCTAAACAGAGAAAATGTAATTCCGACAAACAGATAAACCCAAATAAAATAAATGTCCAATTGATAATACTCTATTATGTGCAAAAACAACAAATAAATCCAAATGAAATAAACACAACAAAAATGAAAAATGGCGAAGAAATTGATCAAATAGGGTTAAAAATGGTGAAGAAAATTGAGTTACCTATGGGTAAAGAACGATGACATCGAAGTGAGGAGCGACCTCCCAGACAAAGCCGGTGTCTACGACAATTCCTTTGTCTCTTTTGCCGCCGATGAAAAGGAAGATGAGATCGAGTCGCCAAGGCCCACCCAATGCTTGATGCTTATCAGGTATCCAGCGATCCTACACAAACCTTAACATCAGAGTAGCACCGGCTATAGCCTACAGCTACAACGACCGGTCGACTGTGACAAGTGAGACAAGGTTGGGAGAACAAACGGTGATGAGGAGGGAGAGAGAGAGAGAGAGAAGGGTAAAAATGATATTTTGTTTTGAAGTCCCATAAAAATTATATCCCATCCCACATAATCCCTTGGGGGAGGTGGGATGGCTTTTATCTCATAAGGTTTGGACAAGTCAAAATGTAGGATACATTTTATCCAATCCCATGGCATCACCAAACGCAGGTTACACTAAGATGGGACTAATTTTTATCCCATCCCATGACTTGTCCGGTCTCCCAAATGTGCTGATAGTTACTTAATCACAAGCATTCCTTAATACATGGGAAGACTAACTTTTGTGAATAAGATTTAGATCTCCAGTAAATTCTTATAAGAGGCTGGAGATATCATCTCTTGTTAACAAGAGTGACAAATCCTATCTTGGTGACTTACAACCCTTAATATGATTTGTGACATACCAAGTACTGTATTACTTGCAAACCCTTATTATAGAATCACATTTATCAGCATTAAAGTATGCCACTCCACGTGTAGTAGACCAATGTTTTACAACACTGGTGTAGAGTAACATGGTGATCCAATTCTTAGGATCACTAACACCACCACCTTTCATAATCAAAACTACTAATGATACTCGGATAATGATTCAAGTAGAGTTCTTGTTGGTGGGTTGGTCAAGTTGGTCCACTGTACTTATTCTTGGATGTGTTTGATTTGGATGTCAACATACGTGTGACATCACTTAAATCATATGAATCAACACACATGTTAATCATATCATATTATTGATGTCACATCTTATCATTCTTTGACTAAGGTATTTATGAATAGTCGTAAGTGTTGTATAAGGATCTTACCATGAAAGTCATCTTATTAACACATTATTCAAGTGAGTTTATCAACGTTCATCATGATAAAGATATGCCATTAATAAAAGTAGGGATCCACTTACAGGCAAGTCTTACATGCCACACTTACACAAAATCTTGACGATTCATCTCTCCACTTTAAAAAGTTATGATAAATCTCAACCATTGAAAGTGAAGAGGTGAATGGTCAAGATTTTGTGTAAGTGTGGTGTGTAAGACTTGTTTGTAAGTGGATCCTAACTCCATTAATAATATTTATATTGTGAAATCATGTGGAACAAGTTTATATTTGAGCTCATTACATTGGCTCTCAAGGCAGACTTTAACACTTGCCACCTTCAATTGGGTGTGCTTTTATTCTAATCAAAGAGATCGTTTTCAGCCTTCTGTTGCATTCTTGTTAAAAGCTGATTCAGGTGACTGCAATGTCATGTCAAAACTCATGTTCTACTTGTAATGTTCCAAAAATTGCATGATTGTATACATGATATTTTCATCTTACCAGTAACCCAGTTAGTGACAATCAGGGAGGATTGTTTTGAGGCCTGAATGAGGAATTGTATGTCTCGAACTAGTTGACATTGGCAACATTGAATCCTTTTCTTCTTTTTTCATCTGACCAAAGACAACATTACGATGAAGATCGTAGAGACACCATTTTATCATGGAGATTTGAAAGAGCTAAGTTCTCTCTTATAATGTCAGCCCATGTAATCCTTTTCCTATCTACTTCGACACCTCTTCGTTGTATCTACCCAAATCAAATCACTATTATGGACTGGAACGCTCTTATGCCATTGTTGCCAATGGCTAAACCATTGAAAAGTTGAGTTAGTTTGTCCAAATTTATGCTTCCCTGATCTTCCCATGTTAAGAATAATTTAACTTTTTATCTCATCTTTTGTTTATGACCAGGATTTTCGTAGTAGAAAGTTTGCAGGTTTCCTTTAGTTTACTGATATGGGATTTTTCCACTTTAAATGCTCCCTCACAAGTAGGCTCACTAGGGTTGTCATCTGGACTCACAGCCATAGCTCTCCAAGCCATTCTCAACCTCACCTTTGGTTGTACATCAGAGCTTCCAACAACCTCTTTTGGGCCACAAACTTGCAGCTACTCTCTTGGGCTGTACACACAGGCTGTGCTTGTAATGAACTCTCCTAGGGTGCATGCTAATAGGGCTTACAGCAACCATCCTTAGCGCAGACAACTATGGTTGGGCTCTGATGCCATGTAAACCTCCAACCTAAGACCAATCAATAATAAGTGGAGTAGTATGCATTGTAATTAAGTCCAATGGTTTTTTCATTTAAGAAGTTTTAAGATCCTACAAGCCTTCTTTCTTTCAAGTTTTAACTGTCCAACATGTACCGCAAAGCATAGCTAGCCTTGTTTTGTTTTGTTAAATTTCCTTTGAACTTGGTAGGTTGCTTAGGATCTATGATGTTTGGACTTAGCTTTCTTTTCCAAGTATCTCTGTTGACAAAACTTGACCTGACGTTGGTATGTCATATGGTCAAATGGGGCTGACATGGCTTAATGGTAAGTCATATCAATTTGGTTAAAAAATCAGTATTCAAAACTTAAAGGAAACATGTTTTATGTATGTCTTAATGGATGTCTGGTGGTTAACTCTACATGACTGCTAAAATGACACATAATATTTGTGAACTGAGCCCACAAATTAATGCATGTATTTTGATTGTCTAAATGCAATATCTAGATTAGAAAAAAAATGCTGGTTTGGTTTGATATTTTTTTGTGCTATCTTGATTGTATTTCTGTTCATGTTCATTCTGATGGTAGTCAATATAACAATTATTTATAAACATTTAATTACAGTTATTCCAGAACTTACTGATGAAATTATGAAGTCAGTTATTTGGTCGTTTTTATGCTTGTATTGCTTCAACTTTTATAGGTGGGGATTTTCTTTATTGTTCTGAAAGTTGCCATTGTTATGTAATAAAATTATCGACCTCTTTATTTCTTATGCTGAAGTGATTGCTATCTTTTCCTATTGTAAAATAGAATGTAATATTTTGCAGGTTTGAGAAACAAGATGGGGTTGTTTTGATGGCCACCACCAGAAATATCAAGCAAATCGACCAGGCCTTAAGGCGACCTGGTCGGATGGATAGAATATTTCATCTTCAAAGGCCAACTCAAATAGAAAGGGAAAAGATACTGCACATTGCTGCAAAAGAAACCATGGATGAGGAGCTTACTGATTTAGTAGACTGGAAAAAGGTGGTTATCTACCAATTTTCCTTCTAAATGTTTTTACTAGTAATAACATCTTTATCATAGCAATCTAAATGGCAAGTCACTATTTTTCTTTAAAATGCTCTTTGCTAGAACTTTGTATGCTTCCTTTCTGAACTCATTTCTAGTTTTTGAACATCTAATTGTCTCCTATGTTCTCTTAATTCATGAATCTTCATTTTTTTTTTTTCTTTTAGGTTGCTGAAAAGACAACTCTTTTACGGCCAATAGAGCTTAAACTTGTTCCTGTTGCATTGGAGAGTAGTGCATTTAGGAGTAAATTGCTTGATACGGATGAACTTATGAGCTACTGTAGTTGGTTTGCGGTAAGACATAACTCATTCTTAAATTCTGTGGCTTGTGGGTGGAATTGTTTAATTCATTGGAATAAATGCTTCCTTTCTTTTCTGCCTTAGGATATGTTTGGTTTGATAAAATAGAGGTGAAGGGAGGGATGAATTTTTTGACTAATCAGATTACAATATTTAAAAACATTATAATTTGATTGGTTAAAAAACTCATCCCTTCCCTCCTTTCCATTTCCCTCAAACCAAACATACTATTAGTTCTCTTACAAAACAAGTGTTGTGTAGTTTTCACAACTTTAAGCATTGGTGGGGAAAAGCCCCTTGAACGCGGGAATGGCTGTCGCACTGCAAAAAAGCAAACTCGTTCTCTTCCATGTAGTGTTTTATTTTAATTTATTTCATATCTATTATTTATTAATTTATTTGAAGTAGTTTTAAGATATAACCATAGGATGTTAGAGCCTTGTCAGGTCCATTGCAATCTCGTTTATTGGCTCTTTGGTTTTATTCATGCTTTAATTCACAGTGTGGAACATGGAAATGGAATATATTCCTTGCATGTTGATATTTAATGAAATAAATCAGATACCTCCTTCCTCATTTGTGTAGTTTAAGTAAAAGCTGCTTCCCACATTAGAAGCATCCACTCATGTTCATTGGGTAGTGTTGTACTTTGTAGGTTTCCTAAACAGAAGGCATATAACATAAAATTAGAAAAGAAAAAAGGGTTAGAAAAAAATGTTTTAAATGGTGGTTGAAGAAAGTAACTAAAGCAATTTCAAAAGGCATTCATTTATTTTCAATGAGAGTTAATTGAAACGATATAGTTTTGAAATGATTTTCTTACTAATCTTTAGGAGGTGAGGTGAATGGGCAATTTTCATATATATATATGTGTGTGTGTGTGTATGTGTGTTTATTTGAAAATTGTCTTTTTATTTTATTTTATTTATTTTTTATCTAGAAATTTGTTTAAATTTATTTAAAATGACATTTGTTGTCAATATTGTAAATAGTGTCTTTTTTTTTATTCGCATGGAAAGTTTTTTTTTTTTAAGTCTTTTTGTAATAGCATTTTGTGTAACCATTTTTCCTGCGTCCTTTTGTATTTATGTGGATTTTTTTTCTTTGGTAGTATTTGTTTTTTCTACTTTTTGCCTTTTTATATTTATGTGAAAAAACCTCTATCCAATTTGTTAGTATAGTTGATGATGTTATAGATTAAAACAGTTTAGAGTAGAACAAGGAGTTTACCAAATCAATTTGGTTTAGTTATTTTGTGAATTAGTTTGAAATTGAAGAAAAAAGGTTTGTTTGTTTTTTTTTTTTTTTTTTTTATGTCTTTTGCGTATTGAGGTTATTTTGGTAATAATTGTCTATATACTTTGTCTTTTTGTATTTGGTGGTAGAAGAAAGAGTTAATCAAATTAATTTATTTTAATTATATTAATAAATTAAGTTGAAATTTATATTTTTATGATTTTTAAGTGAATTCAATAACTCTTTTTTAGCAATTTTAAAAAAGAAAGTTAAGAGAGAGACCAGCATTGCAGGATCATGCAAGCTAGCATATAATTTTCAACCTGGCTTATAATTTCCAAGTCAACTGTTCCATTAAATATTCATGCTAAATTTTAGATTGATTGAATATATTAAACTGTTTCATTGTTTGCACAATTTTATATTGTTAAATATATATTAGAAAATACAATGTCTTTGCTCAAGTGGTTATAGATTTTAGATCAATCTAAAATTTCACATGCATGAATCTGAAAATTCTTATGTGAGCATAAGTTAGTCTGCATAATTGAATATATTTAACTATTTCATTGTTTACTCAATTTTATATCATTAAATATATGTCTGAAAATACAGTTTCTTTGATTAAGTGGTTAAAGATTTTACGCAACATATAATCCATAGTTGGTTGTTCATGATATTAATTATATTGAAAATTATAAGACAGTATAAGGGTTGAAAATTCTTATGCTGGTATAAGTTGATCCTGACACATTCACATATATATGGTAGTTGAATTATTTACAATCTTCCTCGGACGTTGTATATACTCTTCATCAGTTTTTAACATATTCTATACTACAATCGCTAACAACTCTAGAGCTTTAAATCTAAAGTTTTGTAGGGGCTAAGGCAAATCTTATTTCTTTTTGTTGGGGTTATATCTCTACCATGTTAAGAGCTGGTAGAAAGTGCCTTGTACTCCAAACCTAAGGGCACTTTTGTAGTGCACTTCATATTGTTCTAAGGTGGCCACTGGCAGTACATATTGACATCTTTTAGTATGCATGACTGCTTTTATTTCAGAATGTTGGTGATGGGGAACATGAAGAAGCTATTGAATTGTTATTTAGATTATTAAGGATTCTTTTGTAATTATAATTATTCAAGTGTTATTTTATATTATCATTCGTTTCCTAGTTTTACTTTCATTCGGATTAGATCTTTTGTTTAAGAGTCTTATTAGATTTCTTAGTATTTCTAGTTACTCTAAGTCCTAGTCTAATTAGAATAGGAATTCTATTTCTCATTAATTTAGTAATCTTAGGATTATAAATATGTTTGTAACTTCTTTCATTATAGAGTCTAGTTAATCAAATATTCAGAAATTTGCAACGACAGCTTTCTCTTGATAGTTGATATTGTGTGATACAATCTTGGTTGTGTGATATAACCAACCGTAGGTGCAACACTTAATGATTCTTATCCTCTTTTAAGTGTGATGCCTAAAGAAGCCTAGGTGTGACTTCTAGGGTTTCTTATTATTTTCTGTTTTTCCATCTCTTCAAAACAGTATTCTTAACTTCTTTTACTGTTCATGGTTACTGTTCATAGCATATATTTGCCCTAAACAGCCACTAAATCCCTAAGCCTACCATATCCCTAATCTATCCGGCATCAATTGGTTTTACTGCTAAAATATCCAATTCTTTTTTGTATTCTGATGGTTGGCCAAAAAAAAAAAAAAAAAAAAATTTGTATTCAGATGCATAATTCATGTTTTATTGGGGCTTTAAACAAAGTCAAAGGTGATAATTTGATCTAACCTATCATTGCAGTTATGTTATACCTTAAGTTTGAAGTTATTCTTGAACTCTTTGCAATGCCAAATCTTATGAGTTTAACCTGGAAGTTGATAAAATGTTGGTTGCTTTACTCATGTTATTTCAATAGTCATAGGTGGTCTACGCAAATGCTTGAAAGTTTTTGCATTCCTAATGAAATATAGGTGCGTATGAAGCACAACATGCTTCATTGCCTTACATAACTTTTTCTTGAATATTTCCTTTTGGTATGAAATATCTCATCAATTATCTTCTTTTTCTCTCTAGACCCTTCTTATTTTCTTATTGAATTTTAATCTTTAATTAGTCTTCTTTACCACTGATTTTTAATGCATCTTTTTCTCCCAATTTTTGTTCACCTAATGAAATTATTGTTCTTTTTGGTGAAGACTTTCAGTAACATAATCCCAAATTGGGTACGAAAAACCAAAATTGCCAAGAAAATAAGCAAACTTCTGGTAAATCATCTTGGACTAACGTTGACTAAGGAGGATCTGCAGAATGTTGTTGATGTTATGGAGCCATATGGTCAGATAAGCAATGGGATAGAACTCCTAAATCCTCCGCTTGAGGTTAGTAACTTTCTCTTTGTATGTGTTGAGGTTTCATTATTCTTTTCTCTAGTCTGAGCTTGATAAACTTCCATTAGTTTGACACTTAGTGCTTTCGAAGTGTATATTGCAATGATTATTTTTTTTAGGTCCATCCATTGTTTTGAAAATTTTTTAATCTAATATTTAACTTTTTCTTCATTTTCTTTTTGTGTGGTGCTTGCTTGAATGTTCATTACACAGCTTGTTTTGTTATTTCATTTAATGGCATGTTAACTGGTTGTGGTTTGTGGTTTTGACCCAGGACAGGTTAGGGTTACAGTGCTTTTAAGGTTTAAGAGGCTGTATTAGTCTGCCAGGCTAAATTGGGGTAAAGAAGTAGGGGAAACAGGATAGAAAGTTCTAGGGGTCACACCTAGAAATCCTTAGGAATCACACCTAAAGTTGATTACTTAAAGGCAATTTGCTTCACTTATAAAAGACTTTACATATATATGTATAAATTCCTAAAATTAACTTATTAAGAAATAGAACTATTATTCTATCCAGACTAGAACCTAGAATTCCTAATTCAAGCCGAAAGACCAAAATCTGCTGTAAATTCATAGGGGATAGCATGCTTAGTACTTAGACATTACATTGCAGGTTGAGTCCTACATAAATCACTCAATGGAGTATATTATAACTCAAAGCCATAATAGAGTGCCACATTCACTGCATAGATCATGTGTAGCATAGTATTTAGGCACAACATGATCCTCACTTATTTATAATAATGAACACACAGATTTTGCAACATAGAATGGAGTACCATACGGTGTGCATGCTTTCAAACTGATGCTTGAGCTAATCTCAGCATTTTCCTACTGCACCAAGGTCACTTATTTCCCTTAACTAGGGCCATTTCATTGCCAAACATAGGTTTAGGCTGAAACCCTCCAGATTTTAATAAATAACAGCATGCATGACAATCTATTATATTTATCATACTCACCTTCTCCTTGCTACTAATCCCAAATCAACAACATATTAATAACTCACCCACAAACCAACAACTCGATGTGCAGGATACCCCCTAACCAACCATAAGTTAATAGCAATTTGCTTGGATCAGGGAGAGGTGTTGTAAACCACATGAAACACCCTTTTTTTTTTCAAGTTAGGGTTTTGGGTTAGAGTTTGGATTTTTCTGTTGAATGTATTGAGAGCTTCATTCTAAATTTTGATGCTAAAGGACACTAATATGAAAGGAACTTATGTCAAAGTTGATTTAGATACATCTCAAAAGGGTTTCCTGAGAGAGATTAGTTGAATTTAAACTCATTGTAAGCAACTTCTAAATCATAGCTTAAGTAGAAGGGAAAAAAAAAAATCATAGCTAAAGCACAATGGTGGTTGGTTATATACCCTTTACATCATGATATTGCACAAGGGAAAAGCAGCAGCTGTTATGTAATTGTAGGCTTTGTTGATCTGAGTGAACAATAGACTAGAAAACAAAGAGATAGTTCATGATTTGATTGTAAAGCAAGGTTTTAAATCTTTTTCATACTTCGTAAGTGCTGATTAGTATGTAATATCGTAACATGTAAAACCATGTTATTGCCTTGTTTAAATTAATTTTGGGAATAGGCTTTTATTATGAAATTTACACTAATGGAGTTTTGATAATTTCTAGTGGACAAGGGAGACCAAGTTCCCGCATGCTGTTTGGGCTGCTGGTCGTGGTCTCATTGCACTTCTATTGCCAAATTTTGATGTTGTAGATGATCTATGGCTTGAGCCTTGTTCATGGGAGGTTAGCAATCTTCACCTTTGATTGTATTTATAAATTATATTTTATATGTTTTAATAATGTAAATGAGTTTGGAGTCAAGGTTCTTCCTAGCAAACTTTGTTAATTGGAAGTGAAAAATTAGTTTTGTAACTTATACTAGGTTCTAAAACCAATATTGATTTGTAATTAAAATTAATTTTTAATTAATAAATATAAAAGTGATTTCAAATACATATTAATTTGTTATAAACATAAGTTACATAATACTTAACTTTCATATCAATTAAAACTTTTTGAGATAAACACAATATAGCAGTTCATCAAATTTTCATTAATTTCCTTTATCTTTGCATCTATAACTATTACTATTATATATTGTTATTATAACCCAATTTATCTTCTGTCTCCCAAATGCTCATACTAGAAGGTTTTAAATTAAAACATAAAAGTTATAGCTCATTTGCATTTTTCTCTTGGTTCTTTTTTATTTACCTATATCTTTCATTAATTTTTCTTGCAACACCATCTTTTAGCCTACCCTCAATATAAGGTAAGAAGCCTACATTATCTCCCTCCTTTTCTCTCTTTATATATTAGCAATTTATTCGTTATAATTTTTTCTCCCATTATCTCCTTGCCTTTATCATTCTTTTGTTAGTCATTCTTTTAAATTTTTATCTATCAGCATATCTCCTTTTTTACATCATTTTTTTTCCTCTTCATACTTTTTCACTTATCTATGCTTCACCCTTCATTAACTTGGGACTTCATCTCTTAGCTTATTCTCTATCATTTTATCATTACATTTATCTTTCTACCTCACATTCACCCTCATCTTCTCTCTTTCTCTCTCTCTCTATATGTATTAATAATTCGTTTCTTATCAATCTTTCTTCCCTTATCATTATTTCCTCAAATATTATATTATTCTTTCAAAGTCACTCCTTATATCTCTTTCTCACTTTTTGTCTTTATATTGGAATTGTTTAACCTTTTGTCTTAATGAATATATTAAAAGCATGTAAGATTCTTAATTTACAATTTTCATAATTTTTTTGATAGTTTAAATTTTTGATAAAGAGAATGTCAAAGCATTTTTAGGTTCCTCGCACAGATTCTTAATTTTTAAGTTCCTTGTAGGTACTCTTATTTTCTGCTTATGCGTGAGTGGTTCATCTAGAACTCATTTTGACTTTTCAAATTGATCTTTTAAGTTGATATAGTCATTATCAAGTTGATACACCTCAATTGTACGTACTACAATATACAATCTTGATATTTTAGTAATCATTGTTAGAAAATATGTTTATCTAGAATTATATACGTCTTAATCATTAATCCCTTAATCCCAAAATAATGGAATAAATAAGAATCAGTTTGTGAAGTGACACATTGAATATAATATAATGTGTATCTATGTTTACACATCATATAATTGAAATGGAAGTCAGATTATATTTTTGGGTAAGTTGTTTTTAATTTAATAGTATGTAGATGTAGAAGTCTAATTATTTTATGGTAATTGAAATGGAATTTGAGAACAATTAGTAAGAAATTTGATATAATTAGATTATTATTATATGGAGAATTAATTTAATAATGAATTATATGTATTGTGCTCACCATGAAATTTGAAAGGATATTAATTTAATTTAATTAGGCTTCAACTTCCTCAGTGAATTTTCTTAAGGGGGTCCATTGTGTATTTATTTAAGATTTAGAGAGATTTTAAAAGGCTCATTGGGTATTTATTAGGGATTTATTAAAGATTTTAACAATTTTTATAGTATAGTAAAATATAATTGAGTTCATAGTGAAATATAATTGAAGTAATTAAAGTCAGATTGAAGTAGAATTATATTAAAAGGAAAGATTATTATTGAAAATATAATATTGAAGATGCAAATGGAAGGATTATTATTGAAAATATAATTGAGTTTGGATTTTTAAAGGCCCATTGGGTATTTATTTGGTATTTATTGAAGACTTTAAAAGGCCACTAGGTATTTATTTAGTATGTTTTGAAGATTTTAAAAGATCCATCAGGTATTTATTCAAGATTTATTGAAGATTTTAACAATTTTTATGAAAAGTAAGATTTCAACTAGCTATCACTAGTTTCTTTCATATGTTTTAGCTTGTTATTTTTTGTAATAATTGTGTTGATACCGAAAGCTAACAATTTGTCTCACTAAAATTTTATTAAAAATAATAAAAAGAAATTTTCAATTACCATGTTTTAGCCTGTTATTTTACGTAATAATTGTGTTTTAGACAATTGATATATATATATATATTTATATTTTTTTGGTTTAAAAGATAGTTCTTTTCTAGTAGTTTAATTTGATCAAAAAAAATATTTTCAATTATCATTCATTTCAAAACCAATGTGATGCGGACAAGATAGGGGGTTATGCTGGGCTTGGGGATTTAGAGGTTGTTTAGAGCAAATATACACTGTGAATAGTATGCATGAACAATAAAATAGGATCTTTTCAAGATAGAAAAAGGGAAAACAGAAAAAAATAACGAGAAAGATAGAAAATCCTAGGAGTCACACCTAGGTTTCTTTAGGCATCACACCTAAAGAGGATAAAAATCCTTATGCATCACACTTAAGGTTAGTTAGTTGCATCACACAATCAAGATTGCATCACACAATCTCAAGAGAAAACTCTTGTTGCAAATTTCTAAATATTCTAGTCCTCCATAATGAAAGAAACTACATGCATATCTATATAAAGGCTACTAAGACTCCTACTAGAACTCCTATTCTAATTAGACAATAACTTGAAATTTAAATTTTCTAATTCAACTAGGACTTAGACTCTTGATTAAAGACCTAATCCTAATGATAACTACACTTGAATAAAAATAATTACTTAAGAGTCCTAGATAATCTAAATAACTTTTCAATTTTTGCTGTTGGTTCCTCATCACAATGCAAGTTAGTTATAGTGACAGATAATTTGAGATAGAGAGAGTATCACACTCAAGTTCGACTAACTACCCCACAGTCAATTATAAATTCTGAACTTGCTAATTTGGTCATTTTTCTCAATCATGTCAACCCTAGCCCTTTAATTCTAGGTCCTATAGTTATAAAATAATGAAAAGAGAAAATAAAAATAAACTATAATAGCAGCCTGTTTGTAGGCCTTTTTGGAAGGAAAGAACCGTTTCTTTTCTCTTCATATTCCAGCTTGGTTTAACATTCATTCTTCCCAGTGCTGGAGTAAGGCGCCTGGTGGTGAAGGGGTGTTTCATCACTGCTTAGCACCTACAGAGCCTAGGGGTGCTTTTTTTTGGGAAAAAAAAGCCAAAAAATTAAAAAAATTAAAAAAAAAAAAGAAATCAGAAAATTAAATTCAAATGGTAGAGATGGCAATTTTTTTTAATTTAAAAAAAAATTATTATATTTTCAATTGTATGAATGACATGGGAAATCAAAAGAATGTGCCATTTTAAATTTAGAGAAATCAGGGGCTATCATTTAATCAATCACTTAATCTAATAGCTTATTTCGTTTAAGGGGAGAGGACAGGGGGGAATTTCTGTATGTGGATTCAAAAAGGTGGAGGTGGAGGAAGTGGAAGGCAGTGGAAGGCAGTGGAAGGGAGTGGAAGGGAAGGGAGGAGAGGGGACCCTTATTCTACTTTAATTTCATTTGCATTTTAGTCTAACCAAATGAGTGGAAGGGAAGGGAGGGAAATGGAAGGTTCAAACAGTCAAACCAAACCGGGTGTAAATGTATAAATCCTACTCGATTGAGATTGGCATTCTTCCTATCCTATCATCTTGCTTCCTCTGCCTCTCTAAGTTTCCCTAGTTTTTTGGTATATTTATTTACTTTTGAGGGGTATTGTGATGCCTTCTTTGTAAGGGTATTGTGGAGATGTAAGGTGGTTTTGTAGTTCAACCTTCCCCATTAGGATGAAATAAGTGTTGTCAAAAGCGTAAAGCGATTTGAAGCGCCAGCCTCAGAAAACACTTAAGCAGTAGAGTGGAAAGCGAAGCAGGCAATTAAAAAAATATTATATAATGATATCTATATCTTAAGAAGAGAGATTCAAAACATGGAAAGAGGATTTAGTTAACTCCATGATTTTACCAAAGAGAAACAAGGAAAAGGAGAAGAAAACAAAGAGGGAAAAGTAGAAATAACAAAGAAAAAAGCAAGAAAAGAGAAATAATACCTAGAGAAACTCCCATAAGGAAGAAATAGCTAAGGTTACAAAGAAGAGAAAGCAGTAGCAGTGAAGAAGAGAAAGCAGTAGCAGTGAAGAAGAGAACACACGCAGCAGCAGTGAAGAAGAGAACACATGCAGCAGCAAGGGAGAATGAAGAATGGGCTGAGCGTGCTCTTATTGTTTTAATTACTCCTTTTTTGGTTAAAATGGTTAAAAGTTCATTTTGCGCTATAAATTAAATATCTATTGGCTAAATTATTATTTGAATGGGGTATTTTTGTCTAAATTAAAAAAATTAATGGAAGCACCTGCTTCAAGTGCTTCATGCTTCAACTGCTTAAGCAGAAAAGCCAGTGTTTAACCCCACTTCACTAAAGTGAAGTGCTTCATGCCTACCTAAATTGCTGAGGCCCAATAGCACTCTGCTTTTTCGATGAAGTGGTCAAAGTGGATGCTTTTGACAACACTGGATGAAATGTGAAGGCATTGTACTTGTTGAGGGTATTTTGGTCATTTAAGTTGTCTTTTTATAGTTTTATGTACTTTTAAGGGTATTGTGGGCATTAAGGTGTGGTTATTTGTATTTTTATCTTTCATTAGGAGTGATATTGCCCTTTATGGGTTGTTGTGAACATTTTTAAATTGCATATGGGACCTGCCACTGTAAAAGACAAAAGGATTTGGAATTGGTGAGAGGGCTAAGTTTATAATTATGCTGCAAACTTACAAAATCGTAACTTTTAAGTCCTTAAATTAAATGATTATATGAGTGCATGAATTTAGTCATTTAACAAGAAATCATTAGCTCACACTAATATCAAGGTTCATTCAAGAGAATTTAGTGAGTTATTCATTAATGATGAATTCTTTTTGAGATTTCAGTTTTATACGATGGGTTTCTATTACTAGAAAATTAAAAATTCACATGAAAGGCTATAGTAGTATTTAAAAATTTCTATTGTATTCTCTAACCAAAAATTGGATTAGGATCTGATTCTCAACCTAATTGAAAAGAATTATTCCTACCTTATTATGTTTTGTCCATTTTACTCTATTTACTATTCATTCCCTTTTTTTTTCCTGCTAACCAAACAGAGATTACGCATGTAGAGGTGGAATTAGAACTTGCCACAATTTGATTTGCATATTGAAATTCTAGTAGTAGTTCTATTAGTTCGCTAAACAGCTGAATTTTATGTGAAATGTCCTGATTTGCACTTTAGCAGTAGTAGGTATTAGTAATCATCTTAGTTTTTGTAGAAGAAAATGATCTTAACTCAGGTATTATAAGTATAAAAGCAACAATGGATTTGCAACTTTATCCAGGGAATCGGATGCACAAAGATTACTAGGTCCAAATATGAAGGTTTGAAATATGGTAATGCCAAATCAAGATCTTACCTTGAAAAGAAGCTTGTATTTTGCTTTGGATCACATATTGCTGCCCAACTGCTACTTCCTTTTGGGGAAGAAAATTTTCTTTCTGCTTCAGAATTAAAGCAGGCTCAGGAGGTATGGATAAGGATAACTTCGTTCTTATTGTTTCATTTGTTTTAGCATCACTCCATTAATGTTGAGGAAACTCAATCATTTCATTGTAACTGTTACTTGTGTAAATACTTATCTGTTAGTTGCAACAGATAGCTACAAGGATGGTGATTCAGTATGGGTGGGGTCCTGATGACAGTACTGCAATCTACTATAGGAGTAATGCGGTACTTTCCTTTCATCAAAGTAAAACAAACATTTTGCTAGAAAATGTATTAATTGCACCCAGATCTTAGAATCTGAAATTATGTGTTGCACCAAGATTTGCTATACTTATTTTGAAAAAATATATATACAGTTGAGAAGATAGCTGGTTTCCTGCTCTGTGTTAATTTAAAATTTTTGTTCATATGATTTGAAGTGATTTATAGGCCTCCTGGTTTTGTTCCTCTTATTAGAGATATTCAAGTTGAATTGCTTTCTAGTTTTGTTCTTTCTGTCTGACAGATATTCATATTGGAATCTGTCTTCATTGTTATAGACTACAGCATTGAGCATGGGGAACAATTATGAATTTGAGATGGCAACTAAAGTTGAAAAGGTACTTGTCACAATTGCTAAAACATATAGTTGTAGTTTTTTCCTTTCCCTCATTTGACTCTCATCATAAAGCTTTTGACAGTCAAATCATGATGATCACTATGAATTTGGCGTTAACTGTTTTACTTGTAATTGGTTGGTTGTTTATTTTGTAGATTTATGATTTAGCATATGAAAGGGCAAAGGATATGCTTCAGAAAAATCTTCAAGTACTTGAAAAGATTGTTGAAGAGTTGCTTGAGTTCGAAATTTTAACTGGAAAGGTACAGCTTGTAATTTGCTCTCATGGATGGAATGAAGAATTTACTTAGTTGGGGAAAATTTTAAATTTTACTTAAAGGAAAGGATAGACTTTAAGTAATTGTTACTAATCTGTTAAAAGATTTTATCGGATCCACTGTGGGCAGTGGCTCTCACAGGCTCCACCTTCGATCAATCCACGCTTACACTTGTTTAAAGTGGATTAGCTAACCTCTAGTTTTTCTGAATTTGACTGCTTTTCTATAGTTTATAATCACCAATACTCAGTTCTTACTAGTCCTTGAATTGTAAGGAGATTTGGAGATGATAATATTTGAAGTTGTTGTGATTGATTAAATGTGCTGCAATGCAATTGTTGGAAAGCATTTAGAAGTACCTTTTTTTTTTTTTTTTTTCAGCTAGGATGGTTCCCCCTGGTCACTTCCTTTTATACTGGTTAAAATATGTCTCCTTATGAAGTTAAGTCGACTGCAATTGTAAGCAGGGATGACATGCTCTGCTTTGTTGATTTCTTCATGTTGAAGTCTAGAACACGTCAGCTTAACTGCCAGGAATTTATGATTTTTGGTTTTTTTTGGCCTCCACCACGAATTTATGATTGACTTGTGATTTTTTAAGTAAATTCTTGGGTTTACTAAGATTGTTAAGCAGGTAATTGACTTTTGATCACCTCTGCAGGATTTGGAAAGAATCCTTCAAGAAAATGGTGGGATTGCAGAGAAGGAGCCCTTTTTCCTCTTGAAAGTTGAACCTGGAGAGGTATATTGTACTCCTTCCTTCTCCAAAGAATTATTGTCGTTTTTTGACTTTTTCATGAAATTAAGAATTTGAGGAAACTTTTTGTTTTTGGGGAAAAGGAAAAGCAGGTCGACCTGCAAAAGTAATTGCAAGACGACCTTATTTAAACGACAATATTTCAATAAAAATGAGGAATTTAACCCTCTTCCTGTTAGAATGCCGTGCAATCCCCCTTCTTCCCTCCTCCCACCCTTAGCCAGTGCTCATGGCTGCCAGAATTGTCATCACAGGAGCCCCATCACCACTGGTGGCTACAAATGTTTTCTTCCCCAATTGAAGAAAACTGTTGCCCCCCTCTTCCTTTCCCAATCAACCTAGGGTTTCCAATTGAACACAGTGAGCTTCCATTATTCTCATTGATTTTTGATTAATGTACTATTTTCATTGCTTAGCATGACCATAACCAAAGGGATATACGTGGGTCATGGCCATGGCTTAGACCCATATCTTTCAAACTTTTGTCTTTATCGTGGGTCATGGTTATATATATATTAGATTTATTCTTCCTTTTTTGGCATTGGTTTATCCCAATTGAAATGAATTTTTCAAGAACCCTTCATTATAAAGAATTAACACAAAAATCAAACAAGGGATTAGCAAACACAAAAGAGAAGGAAGAAGCTTTACTTATCCGCTGAAAACCCTAGGTTGATTAAGAAAGGAGAAGGCACGCAATAGGTTTTCTCAATTGGAGAAGAAAACATCTGCAGCATCTGGTGATGGTGATTCTAATGGCCATGAGCACTATTGGCCGAGGGTGGGAAGGAGGGGAGGAGGGGAGAAGGGGGATTGCACAACATTCTAACTGGAAGAGGGATAAATTCCTCTTTTTTATTGAAACATTGTCATTTAAATAAGGTTGTCCTGCAATTTTTTTTGCAGGTTAACTTGCTTTTCCTTTTCCCCATGCTTTTAACCTATATTATTCTGAATAAAAAATTGATGATTATTCTAGGATAAAGGGAGTACAAAGTTATTCGTCTACATGTTATGTTTGGTAGGGCACAATGTTTAACAAGAAGTTACACTTAACCAATGTCCCTCTGTTGTGATTTGAATTCTCTTTAGTCTTTACTCATGCCAAAGTCTTTCACCAATCTTCTTGCCTATTTCTTTTGTCTCTACTTCTTCCTAAACATATCAATGAGTCTAAACTACCCACCGAAAAAAAAAAAAAAAAGGAAGCATAGTTATTTCTAGACCTCAAACATGTCAGATCAGGTGGGTTCAAATTAGATCACCTCAGATTCTAAACTTATCTAGTTGAGTCATTTCAAATTTCAAGTTAAAGGGGTAGTAGACCCATGTCCCTCTCACATGAGTCTTGGATTTGGTTGAGTGGACCCAACTTTTTAAAAATTAAAATTAAAATTAAAATATTTTAATATTTTCTCTAGTTTTTTAAAAAAAATTTAATATTAATTAATTATTAAGTCAAAAAAATCTATTAAATTAATTTTAACACTAATATTTTAATAAATAATTATTATTTTATAGTATTTAATTTATCTTATATTTAAAAATTAAAATTAAAAGTATAATGTATTAAAATTTTAAATTTAAAAAAATTCATTAATTGTAGTCAAGTCACTTTAGGTTGACTTGACTCAGCCCTAAACTAACCCAATTGGATCTAGGTATTTTCGGTCTGAGTCATATTGGATTCTGATTGATACCTTAGACCTATGATCCTACCCATAGCAGGGGAGTTTGGTTAGATTTTTGGATTGGGTCTAATTTTGCTAATTCTATTTATTTTGGGGTGCTTTAACTTAGTGTAATCTATGGAGAAGTTAACTCTACCTCTTCCAGTTGTAGAATTTAAAGTTAACTAAGCATGAAAAGTTAATAGAGAAATTAAAATGGTGGATTATGATTCCAAGTGGTCAACCTTGTGAAACAAATCTGTTTAATGATTTACTAAACTTTAAATTGCCTTCGGCTATTTCTTGTGTATATGAGATCAGAAAGTTCTTGTTTAAATTGGTGGCTTTTTGCATATTACACCGAAGTTATTGATTTTTTTGGGCTGTAACACTTGAAGTTAATTATTGAATTTCTTCTTCTTATTACTTTTCAGCCATTGTCTAGCAGTTTTCTTGATGGTGGTAATGCATCAGGAACTGCATTTCTAAGTTCAGCACCCTAGGATTCAGAAGAGATACTCGCAGCTCATACATGGTACAATTTTTAGAGATGAAGGTAGAAACCGCAACGTCTAATCCTTATTTCCAACATTAGGATATCCAAAAGTAGATTTTACAGGTGTATAAATGGCTTGAGAAGTTGCATCAAAACTTTTCGTCTTAACTGACATTTTTTTGTTTGGTACGGTTCTCAACCTTTTTGCCCCTATTCAAATTGAGTAATACATCCAGCTTCCTTGCTGTCTATATCATTGTCAAAATTAAGCGTTTTATCACTTTTTGCCTTTTACATTTTTCCGCATTGACGTATGTAAACTGATTCAGTTTAGTTGATCATTAAATCTCATTTGTTTAGATCAGAAATTAGTTCTTGTTCCTTTACGAAACTCTTCTTAATGCTCATCGAGAAACCTTGAGAAATGGTAAGATATTCTTATATGGTTGGTGTAGAACAGAATGCTTTATTCATTAAGATGAGTTAATTTTATGTGTACATTTATCCTCTTGAATACATGGCAGCAATTGAAAAGATTTACATAAATGAAGAGAGAGAATTGTAGAATACGGTAGCGCAAACGTAATCTGCCCCTACAGAAGTCCTATTGTAGGTGAGGCCGTGAAAATTGGCTTCTCTTTGCTGGAACTGTGTCCTCCGTTGTGGCAGACACTTTTCCTTCTCGGCTTTGCCTCTTGGAGCATTGCAATGACGTCCCTCATGGATGGTCTGTCCTTGGGGAGTTTTGCTGTGCAAAGAAGTGCAATCCTTAGAACAAGAAGCATCTCTTCTTGTACATGCTTGCACTGGCTAGCTAGGCTTGGGTCCAGTGCTTCCTCCATGGCTTTGTTGTTCTTCATTTTTGTCCGAACCCATTCAACAATGTCAGTTGATTCTCCAAAGGAAGGATCTAATGGCATTTTCCCGGTTAGAAGCTCTAGAAGCACTACACCGAAGCTATATATGTCAGTTTTCTCATCAACCTTCAGCGTGTATCCATATTCTGTCAGAAGTTTCAAAACAGAATGTTAGTTTCTTCATTCTTTTAGAGGAATGGGGTCAGGGAAGGTTAGAACATACCTGGTGCGATGTATCCATAAGATCCCACGACCATTGAAACTGTCTCATTCTTATGTGTCATCATCCTTGCTAACCCAAAATCTGCAATCCTTGCCTCGAGATTTGCATTGAGCAAAATGTTGTTCGACTTGATGTCTCGGTGGATGACCGGTGGATGGCAGTCGTGGTGGAGGTAATGCAGCCCCTGAGCAACACCAACAGCTATATTGTGCCGGGAAACCCAGTCAACCAGCAGCTTTCCGGTTTGCTTGCCATGCAAGGCAGCGCCAAGGTTCCCATTGGGCATATATTCGTAGATCATCAGGACATCAGTTTCATTGTGAATGTAGCCAAGAAGCCTGACGATGTTCCTGTGCCGGAGCCTTCCCAGGAGACTTACCTCTCCGAACAGATCATCCCCGTTTTCAGAATCAGTTTCTGATCTCCAGAGCTTCTTCACTGCCACCAGCCCATGGGGGCGATGGACTTCAGCTTTGTAGACAATCCCCGTTCCACCCATCCCGATGATATTTGATTCCTTTATGCAAGCTAGAATGTCACTGCTTGTGAAACCGACCCTCTGGAATGCCACAAGTCTCCAGGGCCATTCCTGGTTGCCCTTTTTAAACAAGTCACTAAAAAGACTATTATACAAGTACCATTTCTGATGCAGCCACCGTCCGGTTAAAAATGCCATGCCAAGAGATATTATGATCAAAGACCCGATAATAAATCCAACGAGGAAACGTTTGATGTGAAGGTTCCTTGCACCCCCTGCTGTTTTTGTGGGATTCTGCAAACAGGGAGGAAGAATGCCACCGCAAAGACCAGCATTTCCATTGAGAACTTCAGGATTTATGGTTGTCAACAGACCATTTGAGGGAACTGGACCTGAAAGATGATTGTATGACAAGTTTAGCATTTCCAGTGCAGGTGAACTTCCAAAATTTTCAGGTATCTGACCCACCATAGAATTGTTGGACAGGTCAAGAATGGCTAAGGTGGGCATTGTTGCTATAGATCTCGGGATTTCTCCGGTGAGGTGGTTGTTTCTAACGTTCAGATTCACCAACTTTCCACATGAAGCAATGGTCTCTGGAATTTCTCCAGAGAAATGGTTGCTCGAAAGATCAATGACAGAAAGTGATAGACAGTCCTGAAATTGGTTAGGAATTTTCCCTACCAAGTTATTGTGTGAGACCACAAGGGTTTGAAGATTGGAAATGGAGAAAATACCCGAAGGCAGAGTAGAAATAAGGTGGTTTCCAGAAAAATCTATGAAAGAAAGGGATGTGGACAGAACTATATCATCTGGAATTCGGCCACTGAGATTGTTTCTGGCCAATTCTAGACGTTGAAGAGAAGGAAGACTTCCAAAACCAACAGGAATTGCTCCGGAAATCAGATTATTTTGCAACCGAACACGGACAAGTGACCTACAGGTTGAAATGTCTTCTGAGATTGCACCAGAAAATGAATTGTTGAAGAGGATGAGTTTTGTCAAGTTCCCGGAATTACATAAACCCGGTGGAATCTCACCGGATAATGCATTTGTTGAGACATCTAACCACTGCAATGGTGAATTCTGTCCAAGGTTTGTAGGTAAAGAACCTGTTAGAGAATTTTGCCATAGCTCAAGTACCTCTAATTTGGGCAGCTCTCCAATCTTGTGTGGAATTGAACCGGTTAGCTGATTGCGCATCAGATTCAGAAGCTGCAAGTTCTTCAATTCTGCTAGCTCTGCTGGAATCTCCCCGGAGATTTGATTGTCAGAGAGATCCAATTTCACCAGGGAAGTAATCCTCCCAAGTTCTGGTGGGATTTTCCCTGTGAAATTGTTCTTGTACAGATAAACGGTAGTAAGTTTTTCTAACTTCCCTAATGCAGGTGGGACCTGACCAGTGAGACTTCCAACTGCTAAATCAAGGTACTGAAGATTGGTGAGATTCTCAAATTCTTCTGGGATTTCGCCCTCAAATTCATTGTATCCAAGAATGATAGTCTGTAGAGAAGAAAGTTCCCCAAGCTCCATAGGGATCTTTCCGGTCAGATTATTACCTGAAAGTCCAAGATACTTCAGCTTCTTCAAATTCCTGAAAGAGACAGGAACTGACCCTTCAAAGAAACTTCCTCTAAAATCAAGGATTTCCAGTGCTGTTGCATTGCCAAGATCCTCCGGAAGAAAGCCAGAAAAATTGTTGCTTGACGCATTGAGATAAGTCAATCCTGAGGCCATTCCCAGGCCTGTTGGAAAGCTTCCAATGAAATTATTTTGACTGACATCTATGCTCTTGAGGGAAGTGAGATTGGAGAGATATTTCGGCAATGACGTGTCAAACCCGTTGCAGCAAATGTTGAAGACAGAGAGGCTGCTCAGAGTTTGAATCTTGTTCGATACAATGCCGCTGAGATTCATGTTGGACAGATCAAGCCTCTCTACGTATCCCCATGAGTTGCACCAGACTCCAGTCCAGTTACAGTGGGAAATTCTGCTTGGTTTTGCCCAATCTTTCAGCATATTCATAGGATCTACAAGACTAGCTTTTATGGATAGAAGAGTTGATGCTTCTGCTTCCTCATTTTGCATTGAGGCTGTTACAGCTCCCTCAGCAATAACTAGAGAGAAACCAATGCAACAGTAGAAGAAAAGTAAGAGGGGTTTCATTTTCTTTCTTTCTCAGTTTTCAAGTTTGTGCCTCCTAACAGTAAGGCATTTTTGGCAGTGGAACAAAGAAGCAAAGAGGGTGGCAAAAGAGCTAATATATAAGAGATGAGATAGAGATAGAGATAGAAGAACATGAACTGGCTTGTTGGTTTTGTGGAAATTAGTTTAGTGAGGAATGTATTAACTAATGCCAATTCGTGGGTTCTCGGGAAGAACAACAGCTAATTAACTGTGATTAGTGACTGTAAAGTCTTGGACCTATTAGCAAACCCTCAGACACTAAAACATGGAGGAATGTGTTTTTCAACCTGCTTTCCTTAAAACTATTCAGTGGTCAACTCAAGTTATAAACCATAAAACAAATAATGTTCTGAAGTTGATAAATGTCACAGGAAACTGAATGTTTTTCTGGAGTTGATAAATCCTTCTTTGGATTTGTCTGTGAAAATTGGTTTGATTCAACATTGAAACTTGAGACTTTTATTTTAGAAATTGAGAAGTGATTCGATTTCACTCTGAGCACCTTACTAACTGAGAGCTACAAATGAAGAAATTTAGGATTTAGTAACTGTGTTTGGAGAAGAAAAATGGGCACAGATCTATTGCAATCACTACTATTCAAAGGATCAAGATTTAAGAGAGGATTAAAAAAACTGCTCTTTAAATTTTCAATAAAAATTTTTTTTTTTCTAGAAACATAAAGGTTCAATTAATTAACGAAATATACAGAGTATAAGTGATGCCTGGAATTTGGGGGGAGTAATTTCCTGAATTAGGGACTTTTATGACTTTGGCCTAGTTCAATTTCCGCCAAAGCACCACCAAAAAAAAAAAATGTTGTACTTTACTGCAGGAGTCATTTAGATAATGCATTATTTGCAACAATCATCATCATCCCATAATTAGGAGGATTTCTTTTTCCTCATGCTAATGGAGAATAATTACAAACTGTGCTGACATGTGCTTATAGAAATGGAATCCTTAAGAGCCATTAAATCTTTTAACTTCCATGATTCTGTTTAAAGATCAAGTATTGCCAAACTGTAAGAATACAGATCAACTTGGCTAACATGCATGCTTGCAAAGTTTAGGTGCTCTTTTATGTCAGTTTGGGAGTATAAGGTACATTTTTGCAAAGAACCTTTTCCTTATGACCTCAATATAACATGAACTGACTCACTTCCCTATACAGACAGCACCCTAAAATACATATACTGGAGCAGTAAATTTTCTGTGCATGAACTGGCAGCAATACAAGTATAAAAACCCAAAATCTGAACACTATCATGCTGTTTTTAATTTGGGTATGAGAGAATCTCTCTATGTACACCATGTTAGGGAGTTGAAAAGAAATTAAAAGAAAAAACAGGGGACAAGTTGGAACTTTCTGAGAGGCAGAAACAGAGATGATGGGGGCAAATAGGGAAATGTCCTGCCACTTCTTCTTTAATCATTGTCTCTCCCCACAAAAGCTCCACTCTTCAGAGATTAAAAAACTCCAGTTCTTGGTCTTTTTTCAGAATTTGCACATGGACCTATCTGGCTTCTTGCAATTATAATGAATAAAAATAATTGTGCTATCAAAGGTTCATAATGCAGGGGATAAGTGAAGATGGAGAGGCTGGAGCCCATGTGAAAGCAATCAAAATCCCCATTATTTGTAGGGACATTCTCACAATTGGGAAATATATATATATATATCAATTGTCTAAAACAC